AATTCTTCCTCTCCAATCGCCCAAATTGTAAATTGCTCCAATAAATAAATAAATAAATAAATAAATATATATATATATATTAAAAGCTATTTATCCATCAAATAATTTATATTTTATAGTGGGACTACAACAACATTAATCTCATGTTTTGTACTTTAAACTTTCGAAATTAAAAGAAAGATTGGGTTGGGTCATGACTCACGAGTGCTTTCTTTTCTTTGACCTCGAGTCTTTGGACCACCAGGAAGTTGAAACAACGTCAAACCCATTAAAAAAACCCACATTTGAAGGAGACTGGAGACCCATTAAGGGCCCAACAGTAGACAACCCAATAATATCCTCACGTGCGGGTGCGGCCAAGCCTAAAAAAGGTTCCAGAGTATTCCAAAAAATCGGACAACCCAAAACAACCAAAAATTTTCAATCCAACGGCCATGATTAAGCGGAACCTTCAAGAGCCAACAGTACGGTTTACCCTCTTAAATCAAAACCTAACCTTACCCACTGTCACCAGCACACCGCTCTCCAGCCCCCTTATCCAAAACCCTTCTAAACCCTTCGCCGATTCCGATTCCGATTCCGGCTACCTCCGGTAAGCCTTCGCTCCTCCACCTCTCTGACACTCTTGTTCATGGATGTGTATGTTTCGTTTTTTTGTAAACTGAAATTTTTTCTGAGTCTGATTAATATTGATAGCTTTGAATAGATGGCGTCGACTTTCACTGCTACGTCTGCTGTCGGCTCTATGGTTGTTCCAAATGGAATGGATAAGAAATTTGCATCTTCAAATAAGTTGTCGTCTCTTGCTTCCGTTTCTTCCATTCCTTTTGGGAGGAGACAGAATGTGGTTCTAAGAAAGTCGCGGGTGCAGAAGGTTTATGCAGCCAAAGAGTTGCATTTTAACAAGGATGGCTCAGCAATCAAGAAATTGCAAGTAAAGTCTTTGCTTCAGTCCTTATCTGGAATTGGAACTTTTAATTGTTTCATTTTGTTACTCTTTTTTTTTTAATCTGTGGCTGTTGTTGTAGACTGGTGTAAACAAGCTTGCAGATCTAGTTGGGGTAACTCTCGGACCAAAGGGCAGAAATGTTGTCCTAGAAAGCAAGTATGGTTCTCCAAAAATTGTTAATGATGGTGTCACCGTTGCCAGGGAGGTATGCCTTTGCTTTAAATGTTTACAGTACTCATATGTTGATCTTGGAAATGGAAATCTAGTTTGGATGTTTGTTAGAATTTTGTTGTGATATGTTTTTCTTTTTCTTGTGAACTATATTATGATGCTGGCTTGTCTGGCATTTTTTTATTTAATCCAATCAAATTATTGACTGAATGTTTACAGGTTGAGTTGGAGGATCCGGTTGAGAATATTGGGGCTAAACTGGTGAGACAGGCGGCTGCAAAGACAAATGACTTGGCTGGTGATGGAACAACAACTTCTGTTGTTCTTGCACAAGGACTTATTGCTGAGGGTGTCAAGGTGTGTATAGGTATTTGTGTAAGTGTTGTGTTTGGAAATGTGAATTTACATTGATTGTTGAGTTCAATTGTTCAGGTGGTGGCAGCGGGTGCTAATCCAGTTTTAATAACAAGAGGTATTGAGAAGACTGCAAAGGCTCTAGTGTCTGAGCTTAAATCCATGTCGAAAGAGGTATGGATTAAAATTTTCATTATTGATGGAGCATCATGATTTTTTTTCATCTGGAGGGCATTTGTTGATGGGTATTCGGGATTGCAGGTTGAAGATAGTGAACTTGCAGATGTTGCTGCTGTAAGTGCTGGTAACAACTATGAAGTTGGTAACATGATTGCTGAAGCATTGAGTAAAGTGGGTAGGAAGGGAGTGGTGACCCTTGAGGAGGGAAAAAGTGCCGAGAACAGTCTCTATGTTGTTGAAGGAATGCAATTTGATCGTGGTTACATCTCTCCTTACTTTGTCACTGATGGTGAGAAAATGGCAGTTGAATATGAGAACTGCAAGGTATGAAGTTTACTTCAAAATTTATCTGTGTGATCTGTGGTTAACAACATTCTCAAATGGTAGCATCTATTCTGCATATTTGTTTGCAGTTGCTGCTTGTTGATAAGAAAATAACCAATGCAAGGGATCTTATCAATGTCCTGGAAGATGCTATTAGAGGTGGATACCCAGTGTTAATTATTGCAGAAGACATTGAGCAGGAAGCTTTGGCTACTCTTGTTGTGAACAAACTTAGAGGATCTTTGAAGATTGCTGCTCTTAAAGCTCCTGGCTTTGGAGAGCGTAAGAGCCAGTACCTTGATGACATTGCTATTCTGACTGGAGGTAAGCATAATTTTGTATTTGCTACTCCTTTATTATTTTGTTTCTTCAATCCATTTCAGAAAATTTTTTCTGTTTTGCACCATAGGAAGTTCCTTTGACAACTTCACTACATTCCTCTCCTAGCCTCTCTTACTTTTTTTCTTTTTGTTTGACTAGAAAGAATGGGCAACCCTTTGTACATTTTGCTCTTGGTTTTATCTAAGCACATTGAAATTAAATCTTTCTCTGTTTGCCTATAGGTACTGTAATCAGAGATGAGGTAGGGCTTTCCTTGGACAAAGCTGGAAATGAGGTCCTTGGCCATGCTTCTAAGGTGGTGCTTACCAAGGACACAACTACTATTGTGGGTGATGGAAGCACCCAGGAAGTAGTAAACAAGAGAGTTGTACAGATTAGAAATCTTATTGAAGTAAATCTCTTAAACGTTTTTTGCTCTCAACATATAAGCATGCAGTTCAATTAGAATCTCCTTTTCCAATTCTTTTCAATGTCTAAGATGTGGTCGTCTTCTCTAGGCTGCAGAACAAGATTATGAGAAGGAGAAACTAAATGAGAGGATTGCTAAACTGTCTGGTGGAGTTGCAGTAATTCAGGTAAATTTCTAATTACATATCCACGACAGGACTCTTAGTTACCTGAGTGAATATGCCATATGATCAGCCGAAAAAACATGGAGGATGGAGCAGTAAGGTTTATTTAATTTGTCTCACCTTTTGATGCTCTTGAAATTATTTCACAGGTTGGGGCGCAAACAGAAACAGAGCTTAAAGAAAAGAAACTGAGAGTGGAGGATGCACTTAATGCAACTAAGGTAATGCATTTTATGGCATGCTCTAAAAAATTAACTGTTCTTATTCTGTTTTGAGAACCATATAATATGAAATTGACATCTTTGGTTTCAGGCTGCTGTTGAGGAAGGTATTGTTGTTGGTGGTGGATGTACTTTGTTGAGACTTGCCTCAAAGGTGGATGGTATTAAGGATACCCTTGAAAATGAAGAAGAAAAGGTATGATGTATTTTTGCATCAGTGTAGATAGCTAGTTCTTCATGGCTTCCAATTAAGCTTAAAATATTTCAGGTTATAAATTTTTGAGCATTTCACCTCACTTATTCAGAGTGGTTATATATACAAAGTGTCACTCACTTGAATTT